TTCTTTTCTCTTCTTGATTATAATTACAAATAAAAGGTACTCCTTCACTATCTTTTTCTTTTTTCTGTTTATATTTTAAGAGAGATTCTCTGTCCAGAATTTTTATTTCATTTAAAGTGCTTGATAATATTTTATTGTCGTAACCCTTTTCCAAAAATTGGTTTTTAACCCTATGGGCTTGTTCTTGAAAACTGCTAACATCAGTGCAATTTCTGCGTATACGCATGAATTGAGACCTTGGAATGTTCTTCAGCCACGGTGAGAAATGGCAACTATTTAGATGTATATAGTTGTTGACATCTACACTTTTAAAATAGGTCTTGGTTTTAATACATTCATTTTCCACATAGATGGTCAGATCCAAGAAATTAACTTGTAATAGGCTGTAGTCAGTAGTAAGTACTATTCCCCATTGATTGTCATTCAGAAAACAGAGGAAGTCTTTCAGGTCATCCTCCGTCCCCCTCCAAATAAAAAATATATCGTCAATGTACCGCTTATAGGTAACAAGGTTCGCACTCCAACTGGCATTGGAAAAAATGAAACTGTGTTCCCAAAATGCCATAAAAAGATTTGCATAGCTGGGTGCGAACCTTGTTCCCATAGCGGTACCGCACTTCTGTAAGTAGAAGTCATTTTGAAACCAGAAGTAATTGTTTCGGAGAATCAAATCAATCCCTTGTAATATAAATGCTATCTGTTTCTCTGGGTAAACTTGGGCTTGTTTCGAAAAGAAATCCACGGCCTCCATACCTTTCTCATGTGAGATGATGGTATATAATGACCCTACGTCTGCCGTGACTAAGATGAAATGAGATTCCCATTGTATTTCTTTCAGAATCTGAATAACATTTAGGGTATCCTTCAGATAGCTAGATGTACTCTGAACTGTCGGTTGAAGACAATGATCCAGGTATTCCGATAGTCTACTAGAGATTGAATCTATCCCCGAGACTATCGGCCTGCCTGGAGGGTTGTTGAGGTCCTTATGTATTTTAGGGAGGTGGTATAGTACTGGAATTCTAGGCTTTTTAATATTTAAATATTTATATTCATTATCATTTAAAATCTCCATTTCCTTTCCCTGTGTAAATAATTTTTCAGATTTTTTTGTGATATCTTTAGTTGGATCACCTGTCAATTTACAGTATGTGTCTGGGTCCTCAACTAGTCTTAAGCCTTCTTGTATATATTTAACAGCATCCATAACTACTATACCCCCCCCCCCTTGGTCTGCTGGTTTTATTACCTTACTTTGATCCTTTTGGAGTTTTTTAAGGGCTAGCCATTCTACTTTATTTAAATTCATCTGTTTTTTATTTGTTTTGATTTTATTTATATCTTGCATGACTGACTTCTCAAAGGAAATCATTTCATCGGAGATGAAATTATTGGGAAAAAAAGTAGACTTATCCTTTAATTCAGTATGAACATAATTTGATTGAGGCAACTGGGTTGGATAAATATCTTTTCTTAGGAAGCATTTCTTTAAACATAACTGCCGTTTTAAAACCGGAAAACAGGACATCAACAGAATACCAATTGAGAAAGCCAACGGTGAAGGCGAAACGCGTCTTGGTAGAACAGGAGAGGAAGGACTTCGGCACATATTGTATTTATTTATACTTTTTTATTATTATTCGATATTTTAACTTTATTTTATATAATAAATTTTGTGTTTGAATATACTTACCTCTACCTTGAATTTCTGGATCCGGTTAAGGGTAGTGTCACCCTTTATATTAGACAGATATGCTATTTATACTTAGAGCCAGTTACTAAAAGGCTCTTAAAAAGGTGAGCATTTTTTCCTTTTTCACCTTAAAGAGATATTGTACTGCATGCTAAGAGTTAAACAATCTGCACCCAGAAGTCTGTTTTTGTTTTTTCTCTTCTCTTGGAGTCTTCACTTTGATTGAAAGGAGGGAAAGAAAGGAGGAAAAAAAAGCAAAGAGAGAAAAAAAGCAAGCAGAATTTATACGGTTTCGCTGCCTACCTTAAAGGCACGGATACTTAAGTGTTTAGAGCCTATATCCATATAAAAGGCTCTAATAAATGTGAGTCTACCTGTATATATCTATATTCACTTCAATATAGGCTCTACGTTATTACCCTATGTATGTTCTCTGTGTTTTTCTCTTTATATGTCTACTTCTTTGATACTACCCTGAGTGGTAAGTGTACATTTATATTCTTGAGCACTGTGAATACACACCTATTAGCGCTACACTCTTACCAATAGTGGGAAGGTGTTTACACTGACCCATTTGAGGTTTTTTGTTTGTTTTTTGCATGTGGAGAGTGGTTTTTGGAGTACCCTCATGAGTGTTTTATAGCAGCTTTTTGATATTGTTATATATTATATTTATAAGCGCCACCTATTCCCACACCTCTCTGTGTTGTTTCCATTGTATGGGGACAGTGTTTGTGGGGCAGTGTGTGTATGGGGACAGTGATTGTGGGGCAGTGTGTGTATGGGGACAGTGTTTGTGGGGCAGTGGCGGCTCTAGACTTGGCGAGGCCTTAGGCGAAACTCATACATGAGGCCCCCACTAACACCATTATTGAAAAAAATAGCAGTTGATTTGTGTGTGTATAAGAAGCTGTAGATATACTGAAGGGGGAGCTTGCAGCATTGGATATAGTGAGCTAGTCTTTGTATACATCGTTGCATTGTCTACTTGTGTGTGTCTGGCAGTGAGGATTCTTGTGTATGTATGTATGTTTCTCTGAGCATGTGTATGTTTGTGTACTGCCTGTGGCCTTTGGCACTGAGTTTATGGCGAAGCTATGTTTTATAACCGTGTGTATAATTATTGCCTTCAGGGGGTGACAGGATGAGTGTAAAAGAGCAGGAGGGTACCAGAGTGTATGGAGGTGGGTGCCAGAGTGTTGAGGGTTCACAATGAGAATGAAGGGAGGTGCCTGTGTTTGCGGAGAGTGGTGCCTGTGTGTTTGGAGGGAGAGACAGTGTGTATGGAGGGGGGTTACAATATGTATGGAGGGGGGTGACAATGTGTATGGAGGTGTGTCAGTGTGCGCCGAGTGGGGTGTCAGTGTGCGCCGAGTGGGGTGTCAGTGTGCGCCGAGGGGGGTGTCAGTGTGCGCCGAGAGGGGTGTCAGTGTGCGCCGAGAGGGGTGTCAGAGTGTGTGGGGAAAATGACACAGTGTGAGGGGGTGACAGAGTGTGAGGGGTGGTGACAGAGTGCGAGAGTTACATTAGTGTAAGGGGTGTGATAGAGTGAGAGGAAGGGTGACA